GAAAAAGATTTACATAGATTTATCCCAAATAGCTGTGACATCGCATCTTATTATTGTTGTAGTAGTTAAACATGGTAGCTGAAGTATATGAAGTTAGATCTATAACCTGATAATAGTTTTACAGTAACAAGTAAAAAATGTAAGCATAATATTGAAGTGGGAGAACTACTATAGAGATGCATTAAAAGTTGTAAAAGAAAAAAAAAAGGTTAAAGGATATATCCGGACTCTCTAAGGATAATTATTTTCATTAAGTGTGTTTGGCTGCTTCAAAAATCCATCCCAGTGATATACAATGCTTAAATAAAGACTAGTATTGGACACCTTAAATCCAGAGTAAGAAAAAAATTCACAAAATGGAAAATTATCACATTATAGGGAGTTTAAGAGAGTGGGGGCAAGAGCTACATTTCTTTTTTTTTTAAGAAATACATCCAGGAGTCTTTAATTCATAGAATCCTTGGAATTCAATCCAAGAGGTGCCACGATAAGGAGCACCTACAATAGATATTATTTCCAATTAGAAATTAAAATAATTCAAAATTATAAGTAAAGTACAGTGGTGCATACCCGCTGATGCATAGAACCATATAGACTGTAAGAAAATTCCGTCATGCATTGATGTTATGCTGAGTTCAATTCTCAATAGTTTGGAAGAACTGATTATTCCCTCTTCCATATGCTGGATGTTAAATAACTATTCCCTTGAATTTAAGCTAGGACTATTCTGTTGATAAAAGAGAAAGGTTCGCAAAGTCAAAGACAACTTGATCTCGTGGCTGTTATATTTTTTTAGCTTAAATCCTAAATTGCTTTATCAATTTTATGACTCAATAAAATTGTAAAAAATTGTTCCAAAACTTCAATTGACAGATATAACTTGTTTGACTTGGTCGATCATGTCCATAGACGTGGCCTGTACCGCAGCATCTTTCTCAGGTAATTATTCTACATTCCTTTCGTTGGTCAGTGTTATTTTTTGTGCTCCATCTTTTGCTGAATGTCACTCACATGTAATTATCCCACACAACAATTTAAAACTTCTATCACAGCATAATGGAGGGGGAGCAGTCCTTACAGCGTTTTTCTCCAGAATTGACTGTACAGGACCAAAGTTTTCACCCAGCTATTATTTTCCTGCCTCAGATTATCCTTTTCCATGGAACAGGAGACTATTCAATACCCTCTACTGCCAGGTTGGTCTTGGTGAAACTGTTACGAGAAGGAATAAGCACTTGTCAAATGAACAAGATTGCCTCAATTGAAAATGAATTTGAAGCGTCAGATTCCTTCTGAAAATTCTTATCAGTATGGAAACATGAATATCATGGCATCCACAACTAAGGCACAAGAATATCACTTCAACACATCCCAATAGCTCTTCTTCCTACATTTTGTACTACCAAGTCATTTTTTGTGTTTGCATATCAAGTGCTTTGTTTCAGAGACTCTTTGTTTGTTTTTTTTGTTTTTTACCAATCAACATGCTAGGTGAATGTGGTAAATTTGTTGGCATCAGGATTTTGTCTATATTTGTCTATATTTTTACCAATCAACATGCGAGGTTTCACTAATGCTGCATACATATGGCCTCCATAACAATTATTATAGTTAATTTTATTTATCTTTGGATATGGATTTACCTCTAGAAATGATATTAATTGGTAATCCAACTTTTACTTAATCATGTTACTTGGACTAAAGGTTTTCCATGGGCTTTTATGAGTAACTTACCTAATTTTGCAGTGAAAACTTTGCTTCTGCCCTCAGGAGTGTTGGTGCTCAAGTTAAATTAATCTTGTATGAAGGCAAGACACACACTGATTTGTTTTTGCAGGTAAATTCGTGGTAATTGAGCAATTCACTTTTTTATTTTCAATTGCTACTGCCCTCAGGAGTGCAACTTCTGCTATAATCTATTGTCATCTTATGCTTCTCGTCTCCTCTTCCAACTTTCTCTTTCTCCTTGTGCTTCTTCCTCCTCTTTGTCTGCTGCCTTCTTCCTTCCGCCTCCATCTTCCTTCTGTATCCCTTCCTCTTCTCCTTCTTCTTTTTCTTTGAGACATCAGTATCATTATGTATTAGTGTACGATGTGTCAGTACACCACCGGTATCCAATCAGTGACCGATACAGGTCTAATTTGTGAAACAATGTTCCTTATTCTGAGTTAATGTGCTTTAACAGCAGTATAACAGTAAATTTAGTCCTAAAAACTCTTCAAAACTCTATCTTATACCTTCTTGAAGTTATTCTGTTTATCCTTGGTTGCTTTACCCATCTCAAGTAGATTTAAACTCTCATGTGGGTGACTTCCATTAAAATTATGGCAGGAAGTATTGCGTTGAATTTGTTGATGTCTCCCTATCTTGTACTACTCGTGTTGAACCATTTATGGAGAGTTCTACTAGTTGTTATTCAGAAGGAATCATTATTGAAAAGATTCTGTTTGCAGGGTTCAGCGAGAACAGAAATAGGGATGTAATATTGATGTTATATTTATGGTTTAGGCATTAGCTTTGTGCAAGTACTTAATATAAATAAATAGAAATAGTCATCTTTCCATCTCCTGTTTTGTCTGTTCTTTGTCCTCTTTTTTTTATTTCTTCCTTAATTGCTGCAGCTGCTTGACCTTTATATTCTTCATGATATTTTGCTGTCAAATGGTTTGACCATAGAGTTATGTTTTATAAATTTTCTCTCGAATCCTTTACAATACTGCCGGTCTATTTTCTTGTATACTCTGACTGCAGCTTGCATTTGTGAAAATTAAACTGAATCTGAGATTACAACCTGCTGATTTCTTTTCCTCCAATTTGTTTCCTGTCCTGTATTCACTAGCAATTAATATGCTAAAATTCTTTGTCTTGGCATCCAATGTTTCAGTGAACCAACCTTTGAGTATGTACCAAGTGAGAGGCCCATACCTCTTGTATTTAATTCTGGCATAATACATGTCATTTGATAGGAGGCTTAAATTGCCTAGCTGAAATCTGGACCCTGAAGAGAACTACAAATATTCGAGGACTTTTTGGAGAAGCATGACATGAGATGACAAAAGAAAAATTAAATTAAATTGAATCTGAGATTGCAGCCTGTTGTTTTCTTTTCCTCCAATTTGTTTACTGTCCTGCATTCACTAGCAATTAATATGCCAAATTCTTGGTCTTGTTATCCATGTTTCAGTGAACCAACCTTTGAGTATGTACCAAGCGAGAGGCCCAGATCTCTTGTATTCAGTTCTGGCATAATACGTGCCATTTGATAGGAGGCTTAAATTGTCTAGCTGAAATCTGGACCCGGAAGAGAACTGCAAATATTCTAGGACTTTCTGGAGAAGCAGGACTTGAGATGACAAAAAAATAATAGAGATCAGGATATTAGTGAATGCTAGAGTGACTTAGGAATGATTTGAAATTGAAGACTTGCCCTACTCATAGGTCAAATTGTGAATCAGAAGAAAAGGAACTCTGCCTAATCAAGTAAAGCAATTAATTGTCTTTTAATTTTTATTACATACCGGAATCATTATGCAGAACCTATGAGCCTTGTATTAATTGCATGGATTCTGTTTCAACATATTTTTTCTTTTCTGTGAACAAATATAAAACAGGAAGTGATGACTATCTATGTTTCAACTCGAGTTTTAAATTTGCTTTACTTCTAATACCAAAGGCATTCGCTTACAGGATCCTCTAAGAGGTGGTAGAGATGATCTTCTTGAAGATGTAGTTGCCGTCATCCATGCTGGTGATGCAGTTGCGCTTGCAAAAGACACTACAGCACCTAAAGCGCGACGCCTGGTTCCTGAGTGGCAATTGAAGTTGGCTCGTGAAATAAGTCCCTTTTAAGCAGCGATGATGTGATTTCTAGGTGATGATGATTTACAAGAAGTTTCACCAAATCCTGCAATTAATTTAATATCTATGAAAGGTTTTTTTAATCTAAACAGAAAGTTTTACTTCAAAAATTTCTGGATAATAAAATAACTTTTCTAGTATTCATTGAAGAAGGAACACTGCTATCTTGGTGGATCCTTAAAAATTTTTAGGGGTGATGCCATCTCTCATAAGGCCTGATGGTTGGGATCCATATGTGCCATCTCAGACATCAGGCCCATGAGAGACCACATCCACTAAAATTTTTCGGGGGTGATTAGTGTACCTGTGTTGTGTTCTCCGTAAAGTTACACATGGTGACATTAAAACTGATACTCAGTTCTTTGTTTGTTATGTAGGTAATGATGCAGATGTTTGCATTCTCTGAAGCTCTTTCAGCACATTAAGCACCAAAATAATCTTAACACTAGAATTTGCAGGAGCTTTCAAGTATAGGAACTAAACTGAAGTGGAACATCATTGATGGCACATTAAGACTCCATGGAGAAAGGTAAAGCACGAACTAAGGATGAAGTTTGGACAAATTCTTGGGATGCATTTTGTGATGTTGACATGTGGCGCGATTGGCATAAAACCCTAGTCATAATGTGAAATTGTACGTCTGTTGCCTATTCTCAGACCAAAGTAGAAATATCTTCGACAAATCTTTAAAAAAGTTACTTTGGTCAAGCAGAACATCAGAATTCATTCTGCACAATTTTACCCTTTGTTTGAACTGGCTGAATCACAGGCAAGTGTAGTCTGTATTTTGAAATACTTTTTTTTTTGTTCTTCTTTTGCCTTTGTAATAGTTAAATCATGTAGATTACCTTCCAAGCCTCCACAAAGCAGATGTACCATTTGAGGCTCCTTTAATGCTTTCAATGGTTAATTCCATATCTAATTTCAATGATAAAAACTGCAATGGCCATTGCATGGTATATAACAGACAGGCAGTCTCACTGTCTATATAGAATTTCTAATGTTTGTATTATGGCTGTGTTATGTCAAAATTCAGACTATCTGCTTGAGTTGTTACATGACACCAGGAAATATGTTATTAAGTGTTGAAATGCATGGATGGCAGTGCACTATTTTGGAGACTCTTATATGATGCAACTCAAGTAGCAAAAAGGTATTGTTATTTTGCAAGTATTTGGCTATTTATCGGACATGCTTTCGTTTGTTTCCTCTTTGATGGATTCAAAATGCTATACTTTTCTTGAGAGGTGAAATTCTTGGAGATGTTTGTTCCTGAAAAGTACTCGTGTTCGTATGTGTTCAGCCAAGCGTTTGCTTCTGCTTTCAACTAACTGAAATCCCCATTCCTTTTGCAGCTTTGATTTCTCAGTCACCACCTTACCAGTACAGACTTTGGCTTCCCTTTCCTCGATAAAAGGTTGAAAAATTCTTTACAAGTTAAACTGGCTTTCATGATCTTGTTTTTGTTGTGTATTCCTTCTCCCGAGTCTTTCTTTCTGACATCGCTCAGTTACCACTGGCGGATACCATCACGCTCTCACAAGCACGCGTGATACGCTGCAGCACGGTGGCAGAATCCAATGTTGGGCAACATTCTTCTCTTTTGGCAGTCGAGCCTTGAGGTACCAATCATCTTTTAAGGTGGGATGGTGCTTGGATGAATGGTGGAATTGTATTTTGCAGACCACAACAGTACTACAGAAGAAGTCGAGGAAACAAAAAGCTTGGCATGGGCAGATAAAAATGACAATTTGTTTTCATTTCCCACTCAAAAATAGATGGAGCAAAGGCTCACTACTGTATTTCTACAAAGTTCCATCGATAAACCTGCACAGTATGGATCAGAGTACAAACCGAGCAGTTTCCTTCCCATCAAATGAAAACACAGCTCCGGCTAAGTACTTAATCTCAGTTCCACCAGCCATCCAGGTCAGGCACAGTATTCGGATCAAAGAGCAAATTATATTAGCCAAATTGGCAACACCTTGGAGAAGTTACCGTTCTACAGATGACATCGATAAAACGCACAAGCACCAGCTAACACTTGGAGTTTTGGATGGACCGTGGATCATCATCTGTATGACTTTCGGGTGAGACTGGTGGCTGCTGTTGCTGCCCTCCGTTCTCACTGGGGTCGGGATGAAAGCTGATTGGGAATTTTGTGACACGAGGCTTGTCGGCCAAGATGTTCCGCTGGACTCTATCAACCAAAACCCTTGGAGGAGGTTCTTCTCTGAGCTGCTCATCGTCATAGTCATTGTTCACATAGTAGCCGACTCTGAGGAACTCCTGCCCCAGATACGAGCAAGTTAACAGTAGCACTGTGACGCCTATGATGTCTTCTTCACGGATCTTGGTTGGATCTGGCGGATCTGCCTGAAAGTTAAAAAAGGGAGGAGCAAGTCACTTTATGAGATCATGTGTATAAACCATTTTTATATCTTGGTTCAGATTTCTCTGACATTGCCTGGAAAACGAAGCGATAATTCCCAACATTGACAGGACCAACAAGCACACTCTCAAGGAGCTGGTCATAAGTTTCATCTTCTGCTGAACCAACATATATGAGTTTCCATTCCAAATCTGAAGAGTTGAGCACAAAAATAATTGTTAATGCCGATACTAAGAAACAAAAAAAGGCCATGAGCAATATTACCATAAAATTAAATATTCCAGTTTGTGTTTGCCTCCTTAAGAAGGTGCCTATTAATGCAGCACAAGCATTCCAAACAACAAAAATGAAAATACGGAAGAACCTAGTCCAGGAAAGCTTTATCCGACACATATCATGATGTTAAACCCTGTGTTCATATATGAAAAGACATTTGGATGTCCATGTTCTATAGCAATCAGCAGTGGAGAAATGAGGAGGATAATGATATTTCCTGTACTCCATATTTTTCACTTAAATCCATCCTTGTTGTAAAGTTGTTCTGAATTGACAGTGTAAACAAACCTTGTTTGCGTTGCACTTTTGGATGATTGAAGATACTACGAAAAAATAGTCCACATGGTAAAGAAATTACCTTCAGACGTAATAATTCAGATGGCTGCTAAAGATAAAGGAAGGTACATGCGATGATCTTCCATTACTTCAGAAATATAGTCAACCCTCATTTCTTGAATGGCCATTGTTATTTTTCTGTGCATGTCTGCTAAAGGTGAAATTACATGTCCTACTGACTCGGTTTGAATAAGAGTTCATCACATAATAGCACCCATATATTAACTGATTGAGTTATTGCTGATAAGTGTAAAGTATTAGAAAATTTCAACATAGCTCCTGCCCCATACTCTTTAGCTATAACAATCCAACTTTAAGCCTAATAATTATAAAATAAGCATTTAGCACAAATATGGACTTTTAGACCTTACCCACAATATGGGCAGAGATCTACACATGACTAATGTTGTCAAAGGCGCTACATGCTGAAAGACGCCAAGGTTCAAAAATGTTTGAGGTAATAGGTGCTCAACCAAGCAATGCGCTCGCTAATATAAAAATGATAAAAAGTTTATAATTAAAAAAGTCAACCATTAAAATAAAAATAGACAAAATATGAGTTTCATATAATTTCATCTTCAAATTATCACCACTAAATATCAAATTACATTCATTTAACCATCTACAAATTATTAAAATGCTAAATTTTCTGAATCTAATAATAATAATAAAAGATTAATATCAAAATTAACATTATGCAAAACTATAGCAAGAATTAACAATTCAAAATTCTAGTAGTCGCAAATACAGTAATCAACACTATTCATAAACTTGTATTCTTAAGAATTAACTATTATAAATAATAATAATAATTTTGCAGGGGAGGGGGGTGAGAATAGGAGCAGGTTGATTGGAACTAGGGAAGGCAAGGAAGGAAGGTTGATAGCAATGGAAGGAGCCATGTTACACCATTGCCATAGGGAGAATACTAGTCACTAGTCGTTCGAAGAGGGAAGAGGGAGGGGGTTTGGGAGAGCGTTGCAGTTGGGAGGGGAAGAGGGAGGAAAGAGGAAGGAGAGGGGGCTATGGTCTGGGAGCAGAGAGAGGAGCAATCAAGGAGGAGGATGCTGTCGGGGAAGGAGGGGAGCTACAATAAAGGGCGCATGGGGGGAGGGGAAGACGCTAGCAAACTCCAACACGGGGGGTGAGGGGGCTGCGACAAAGGCTGGCGGACGCCAATGCGAGGGGCTGTAATAGAAGGGGAAAGAGGGAGGGAAAGGCGCTGGCGAACGCCGACATAGGGGGCTATGACGAAGGGGGGAAGATGTTGGCGACTATGGTAGAGGGAACAGGGTGCTGTCATGATTTAGGGGGTGCGACCACGGAGGAGGAAGAAGAGAGAGAGATACTGAGGAAGACACCACTGGCGCCATTCACCATTGGAGAGGAAGACACAACATTGTCATTCATTGATGAATTGGAAAACACCACAGTAGTTGATCATTGGAGAGGAAGACACCAATGCGATTAGGGCTCGTGCGTGTGTGCACAGGGGTTTTAGGATTGGATGATTTGGTTCAATCGAACTAGAACCAATGAGAATTAAGCTCGACTCAAGCTTGACCCAAGCCTGATTTGAAACAAGCAAGCGCCTAGCCCGCCCAACGCCTAAGCCCAAGGCCGCACCTAGTTGAAGGTGCCCACCTATACTAGTTTCTAGGCCTTCAAGCGTCACCTCACCTCGCTTGGAAGCGTAGGTGAGTGCCCAATGGCTTCCCTACGCGACCATGCATAATTTCACCCAAAAGCTAAAGAATTGTCTTGGTCCAAAAGTTCCACCAATATTAAGTATAACAAGAGGAATAAGTTCAAACTCCTTATTTTTCCATGGTGAATCTCAAAGTAGAACAAAATGAGTCTTACATAATATTCCTAACCCAATAATCCCTAAAATGTCCCTAACCCCTAAACTCATAAAGACTCCAACTTACCTAACTCCTTGCAATCTATAAATAATGTTGACTGACACCTTAATGAACACACATAAAATCTTTTCAACATGTAAAACTTCAACTTTCTTTGATATTTCTTAATCCCCTGCAATGATCTCAGCAAAATCCTAATCTAGTGTCTGCTAATCTGCTTCAGTTTTGTGTCAGCAGTCTCATATGTTAGTTGCAAAATGTAAAGGGCTGATAATAGCTGCATGACTCCAACTGTGGGATACACCATAACCTTCTAAACAACGTATACAAAAGTATGCACTGCTGTATAAGCATTCTGAGACTAACAAACCTTCATTGCTCTTACTTGTTATTTAATATATTTGAAATTTGTGTCATGAGCAATCTAAATGTATTTAAGAAGATATATATTTGCATTATGTCGATAACTTGGACTGCATCGATCAAAAATAAATAAGAAACTCTAAATGGATGCTTTAAAGACACAATGGTAAGATACAATTTAAACTATTTTGTTTAGTGGTTATAGCTTAATGTTATTCAAAGTATAGTATCCCACAAGCACAAAAACCTAGTGGATTTCTAGGTATAATTTTGATAATCTTGAAAATGTGATTGAAAGGACATATTCTCATATCATAACATCATCCTGTGAGCTTAGTTATGAATATAAAGAAGTCAAAAATGATACATGCCTTTGTTCTATGCATCTCAGCAGCACAATATTATGCTAAACTAAAACATTTACCAGGCACATATAACCTGCTAGTATTGCACAAGAGGTATTGTGTCATGATCTAAGGAGTTGGCACACAGCCATAACATTAAATATTTTGTATATCGATAGACTTAAGCTCGTTAAATTTGACTATAACATCTCATATAAGTCCCAAGAAAACTTCCTAAAATATGTCACCGTCACCACTCCTCGCCCTGCTTTCACACGTTACATTGATAAACTAGTGCTAATCCTACAAAAAGAACAATGTTATTGACGGGAATAAGACATCTACAAGTATCTCGATTCCGTCAATAAATTCAACAAGCTTCTACTCCCTCTTCTTCTCCATTTCCATGTTCCGCATCATCTAAAGCTCAAATTTCAGCCACCACGCCATAATGTTGTTTCATGGACAACCCTTCCTACAAACTATAATCACCTTTCACTTCGATTCCATAACAAGAAGAAAAGAATAGAAAATGAAACCAAGTCATGACAAACAACAGTGTAACACGAACAGAAGCATCAAAGGAAAGACGCACAACGAAACCCACGAAAGGCGGGACTTTTTCTTGAAGTTGTAAGTTTTGGTCGAGAAATATACCATCTTCCAGAGGAATCAAGCACTCGTACGAGATCTCGAACTGGAACGGGCTGAGGAACGCCGTGGGATTATCCAACACCGTAACATTCGTTATATTCACCGCACTCATGGTCGCAAAATCCGAATATTTCCAGCGCCACCGCCGCCGCCGCCAATGGATCGAACCGAAACCCTAGAAACAGAAGGATTCCCTCAAGTCCCGTTCGTTCATACCTCAACAGTACCCTAAATCGGCGACGGATCGAAGAAGAGGGGACCGGAAGCTCTCAAATGGATAGGGAAAGTATCCAAATCGAACGGGTTTTGGGTTATCGCCCGCTCGAATTAAAATGCGTTCGAGATTTCGCGTCCCGCTGAGAAGCGATGCTCCGTATCAATATCATAGTTTTCTCTATTATATTATATTTTCTGGAAATAACATATATTTATTCCATTAATATTCAAAACTCTATTCATCAAAATCGAATCGAACATCGTGGCTCGAACCAGTAATAGATTTGATCAGATCATGGCTCGGTCCACTTGGTTTGGTCGAACCGAAAAGCTAATTGATTTGACCAGATCAAATGCTAAAAGCCAATTCATTTGATCAGATCATGTCAAGTCATAGTAACCCCGTCACCCTTCTCTGTGTCGAAACCCTAATACCCGAACGTCTCCTCCTCCTCCTCCCAGTCGGGTGAAAGGCGGCCGACGACCGACGACCGGCGTTCGTGCGCAAGGCGGCCACTTCCCCTCAGTGCGTCTCTCTCTCTCTCTCTCTGCTGGCGGTGCAGCATCCCTCTCTCTTCTCTCTCCCCCGGCGGTGCAGTCCCCCTCTCTCTCCCCCGACGGTGCAGCAAACCTCTCTCTCCTCTCTCTCTCTCTCTCTCTCTCTCTCTCTCTCTCTCTCTCTCTCTCTCTATACTTAGGGTAGGATGAGATTTGCAAATACGCTCTTCAATGATATTTCATAAAACAAGATTAGGTAATTTGTGGATCTAATGGCAAGATTTAGAGGCCTTATAGATAGATAACTTTTGATTGATCCCATCTCAGGTGTGCAGCCTTCGTCAAAATGAACTACAAGTCAAACAAAAACAGGGAAGAGCTTTGAGAATCAATTTATTTTTTTGGTTGTTTAGTGAGCCTGGAGAGCAGTACATGGTCCAATTTCTTTTGTCTCTTGATGTTAAATGAAGCCTTCACATGTTAAACTTCATGAATGACTTGTAGTTTTTAGCTCGATGAAAACATAATAAATCCTTTCTGTTTCAAAATAGATGCAATCACTAAGAACTGCCTATTTGCTTATTCTTGTGAGAGTTCTGTGGAAGAATCTTTTATTTCTTAAGAAAGGTTTCATAAGCTGATGGCAAATGCACTTGTTAAAGATCCTACTAGAGTGAAGATGTTCTTGAATGTTGGGGGCAGGTGCTTCTAATAGTATTGTTTGAAGTATCATCACTGCCTTTCTTCTGCTGTTGATCTTTTTAGGTTTCCTTCACTATATTTTGCAGATGCTACCATTGTTTTCATTTCTGAAGTTGTTTGAGTAGTCTAGATATACTTATAGTAATATGTTATGGTGGCTGATTTGATTCTCGACACGAGGTTATTGATTCAAATTTTTGCAGTTATATCTTGCATTTAACATAAGGTATACAAGATTATGTTTCTGTTTTTCGTATACAATGTGTTGGAGCCATTTTGGTTCTCAGGAAAGCTGCTTAGAATCATCTTTATATTGCACTCTATCGATACGCTTTGAATAAGCAAAAGCTAAAATGACCGTGGTTTTCTTCCTCAGTAAACCTGATGAAGGTCAAAATACTGAAGTGGCATGCTGTGGCTTCGTGGACATGGGATGCTCAGGATGAAACATGCGGGATCTGCAGAATGGCGTTTGATGGTTGCTGCCCAGACTGTAAATTCCCGGGTGACGATTGCCCACTGATCTGGGGTGCCTGTAATCATGCTTTCCATCTGCATTGTATTCTCAAATGGGTTAACTCGCAGACCCCTCAGCCACATTGCCCTATGTGTCGCAGGGAGTGGCAGTTTAAAGCTTAAGCCTCATCTTAGTTCATAGGATCAGTTGTTTGTGGATTGTTCTGAGGTTGCGTTGCCGCTCCGCCAAGAGACATCCTTGGTACTCGAGGTTTTGGGAGTTGTCCCTGATGTTTCTTCTGATCTTGAATCATCAATCAACGTGTTATGTTAGTTTGTAGCAAGGCAATATTTCTGAAGCTTTCTGTGAGGAACTTGTAATATGTGACTATGGTGTACTGTTCCAGCATTATTGATAGAAGGGAGACCTTTTAGCTCTATGAGAAACGCTTACTCTCTTCTGCATTCTTTCCATCTTACTCAATTCTCTCTATTATGTCATTGCTTATATTCTTTGATCCTTCATCTTTGTCTAAGCAAGGTTGTAACTCTTCTCTGCAGGGAATTTAAGTGGAAGAAATGAGGGTCATCGATCAGAAGAACTTCTTTTCACAGAAAGAAGCTAATGCAAGGGCTTGTGTATCCAAATCGGCATTGTGAGAACAGCAGGTGTGTAATGGTTTGGTGTTCAAGATTCAAACTTTTCTCTTGCTTATATATTTTGTTTCCTTTTGGTGAATGATCGAATCCCTTTTTGTGATGATCTTCTTAGTTCACCCAAAAAAAAAAAGTTCAGCAAAGAGAAAATTAAGAATTTTAAAATACTACAATAATATGCTCTTTTTAGGGTTAGAAATTTAACATTTCAAGCCAAAAATAAAAGGGAAAAGAGGAAAACTTTGGCAATTGCCAATTGCCAATTGCCTAATGATTATGACTACCATCTAAGCTTGTTTTGTAATTTTATTTATTATTATTAGTTGTTTATTTGTTCTTACTTGGAAGTCCATTTGCATCAGCACTGGCGTCATCATGGTGAGCTTCTCGATAACAAGTGCCAATGTGTTCGACGCTGTCCGAGTAAAAGAACCCGTCGCAACATAAAACAAATCTGTATGGAGCAAATTGATCGTTTTCTCATCGAATCCAACACGGATGCATCTACCTACAGCGATCAGGACAGTAACTGGTAATGGTAAACCCAGCAGACTGCATATGAATCAAAGTCACAAGCAATGCAAATGCAATCAAAAGAATTTTATTACCAGTAATTTTATCATTACTATCTTCGTTATTAATATCATTATCATTACCATTATTATTATTTGTTATATATCCTCCACGTGATGTCCAAGAATGAGACAAAAATTACTTTTATTGGTTCGTTCGCTTAGTATGGGTTCTCTTCATCATTATCATCTACATAGAAAAAAATATCAAATTGAGATCGTTAAATATAGTTAAAAGCTATCTCTCATGATGGTAGGGAGTATATCATCATCTAATCAACACATAATTATTACGTGGAGTCCTCGATGGGGGGAAGAGATCCAAGTCACCTTTGAGTCATCTACTCGCATGGATAAGAGTCCAAAGTAGGTTCAAGGTAGGCAGCATAAGGTTGCCCCCTCCCTTGTCGCCCACATGAACAAGAGGCCAAGAGAGGACCATTGGAAGCGATTAAAGGTTACCTCGTAGAATATTTCATATTCCATCTTTTTATAACTAAGTATAAAAGCTCGTCTTCAACACGATGAGTAAGTGGTTGACTTTTTTTTAGTACTTGTATTTGTACTCATAGACCTCAAATTACTAACTTGTGTGACAAAGGAATCGGGTCTAAAAATCTCTTTTGACCTTAGTCTTTGTGTAACTGGCACCTCGAGAGTTTAGTGTTTTCATCTCGGAAACACCTTGGGCAACCATATGTATACAGGTTCAGACTACATTGGGCTGATCCGGGCATCAATAATACCTTCCTGTAACATTTTTTGTGCTAGAAAGAGCACTCAATGTCATAGGAACAACCACCTGTCAATCCTCTCAATGAACGCTCAAACAAAAAAGCTTTGCCTCCGACTCACAGTACTTTCACCCAAGTCGATTAACAACCATCCTCTCCACACATTGGAGAATCCAACTCGATGCAAACTCAAATGCGTACTAGCGCCTATTCAACAATTTGGGTCTTTCACCTCTAGGGACAGCATTGGGCCACCTCTTTATCCCTGTTGAGGTGTTTTTAAACCTAACTTAGTAAGCACATATAATAACAAGCATGAGACAAGCCGTCGCTCTGATTTTGGCCCAATAGGCAACTCCACCAACTCAGCCATAATCCTCGACTCCATCACTATCGGCACTTGCCGAGATTTCCCAATATAGTGTTGATATCTCAAGAGTGCTTGAGGTCCATTGAATCGTCAGTCGAGGGGGTACTTTGATCATCGATCATGAAATTCAACAGATCATACCACTTTCACTCTTCCTCGCCTGAATTTAAAACTCAATCAACGGACTCGATGAAGGATTCCCTATGGATCTAACTACAATAGATAGACCGAAATTTGAAGGAGATGCATCTATAGTTCCAACAATTAAAATGGGAGACGTTGGTCGACCCTACCTTAGGTCAGTTGTCATTCACCTAGAAAATCAAGGAGGAAGCGATTCTAACAAACTTTCATCTCGCATGCTTGAAGCAGTCAATGGTAGCATTGACTCGATGGAGCATATTACAGCGTTCTATGCCCAGATACCATTATATGGCACCTTGGACACCCTAAAGTATCATGCCTTCTCGATTAGGTTAAGAGGCTTAGCATGATAATTGTACGCTCTCTTGAAGTTATTTTCTATATGCTCCTTTGCCCAGTTGGTGAGGGAGTTCGAACTTCATATCCTCGAGAACTTATGCCCTTGGCCTTTAAGCGACAACACTCCTCAAACTCAAGTGGAGGGAAGAAGAAACACTCGTAGACTTAGTTTATATGCTTAGTTGATATGTTAGAAGTAGAAAATCATGACACTAAAGAATGTCACAACATAAAATAGTAGATTGAAGAGCTTATATTGTCACAAACTTAGCTGGTTCTGCCTAAGTCATGTGATACCCTTGCGTGTTCGTCCGTAAAAGGTCAACCTCCTCGAAACCTCTTAGGGTCTCTTAAAGACTTACAAAAGATAAAATAGGTTAGAGAAAGCGTTTAACTTAGGATCCACAAGCAATCATTTCAGTAAACACTTGATAAACAATGCAAATTGCAAACATGAACTTCACAAGAACTGAACAGTCGCATGACAAAAGGTCCAAGAAGGTCCACCACAAACCAAAATCTCCACAAGTGCCCATATGACATAATCTTCATTTACAAGCCTAAAACAGCCACTAAAGGTAACGAAAATGGGGTTGCCAAGCCTATGTCAGTCCTTTATATATAGTGCAAAACATAAACAAAAATGAAAGACACAAACATACATGAGTATTACATCGAACACCCTCTTTATAGTTTTATCCATGATATTCTCCTCCACTTATTCCTTTGACGTCCTCGTCGAAGCCTTCGCGAACATTGCATCATCTCGCCTTTGCTGAATCTTCAATCTTCTACTCCAACTACACCATGCCTCTTGGCTCCCAACTACTCTCCACCATTATTGTTGAGTAATCCAACTTTGATTCGCCATACTACTTCAACTTGTCAATAACTCTGACTCTAGTATGAGATCGACTGAGTTATGTTAATCCTTGTTAGATGAACGAAAAGGCCATCCTTGTTATGCCCTAGTCTCTCAAATGTCTCATGTCGCTTGAACTGGATAGATGCATGTTAGAGCTTTAACGAATATCGTATCACAAACTTTAAAGTTTTTGGGGTCTTTCCTCTATAAAATTCGTCCATCCATTCTTTTTCCATTTAGTTATCACTTCCAAGTAGGTTCGTATCACTTTCATTTCGATTGACATTCTGTTGAAAATTGAAGCGAATAGTCTATTCTGAATAGCATCGATCATCATTGGTGAGGATTTGATAACTATTTGTCTCCCACTAAGTTTCTTCAAAGGGTCTCTAAACCTGTGCAGAGCTCCTCTACTAGATAAATAGGAGAACTGGGATACTCGATTTCGTTCATTCTCTTAAAAGTTGAGAAGGTAAAGGTTACTTAACTTCGCTTGCCTCCTCGAGGGTTGTACTATATGCATGAAGTTGATTACTAGCCTTCACCTACTCTTTGCTCACACTTCCAAAGCACTCGAAGTGTTTACACTCCTTGCGTTGAGTTAACTATTCTAATTTTCTTTCTTATTACCATCAAATTTCTAGAATGCAAGAAGTTTTGCTCAAAAAGAGCAAAATTTCACCCCAACTTGCAGTAAGTCTTTGATAGTTTTGATTGCCTCTGGGATTGTACCATCTTCTACATCATTTCTGTCGCCTACTCCTCTGAGTAGAAAAGGTATAGCACCACGTACTGCCTATTTCATTCCTTTGTTAAGCACTCTTGTATCGACCCGTAGTCCTTCACTTTCGGCTATTTTGACGAGAAGCTCGTTGATACTGGTCTTACAAAATTTCCTAGCCACTGCCCTTCAACCTTGCCTCGGTACTTGGAGTTTGCCTCAGTATTCTCCTTGGTACTTGGAGTTTGCCTCTGTATTCTCCATCTCCTCGGCCCTTTCATGACTAACGCTCTCTCTTTATAAGTGTAAGGGATCAATGACTCCATGAAAGTCTTACCTCTATGATATAATGACATTGTTATGCCCATGAAATTACTATCAATTACCTCGCATTTGCATCTCTTTCTTCATGATCGGTAGATCTGCCTCTACAGTACTATGACACTCCAAGTCCACCTCTAGTCTAACCAACTCTTGTTTTAGGTAGTTAAGTCACTTTGGACTCGTCGTCACTTTTTTTCCCTTTTTGACTACCTGCTTCAATAACTTTATGTTCTCCAAGCAATACCCCTTAGTCGATGGAAAAACAAACTGTAACTCTCATGCATGGCTTTCACTATCATGTTTCAGGGCTCACGTCGATTATGTTCTCAGTTTATTTAGTAGCAACATTCGCTTACTCGGCCTTGTCCTCTAATTTGTCGAGCTCCCTTAAACGAATGTGAGCTCTGGAGCAATCTAACTCTCAACTCGCTCCAATCATACCTCTGTATGATCAAGTCTCCCCATGAGACTCATTGGTACTTGTATTTGGAATTCTCCCATAGTGATACATAGCCTCCATATATTGATAATCAAGGCTTACATCCAATGTAAAATTTTATACATGCATGGAAGACCCGCCTTTATGGTACCATGGCGTTCACTCCTTGAATCCATAGCACTTTTTGTTATCGTGTCGTTCATCGAAATGGAGCTCCCACATTTGTATGCCAAGAGTTTCTATATATGCTTATCTCACTTTGATACCAATTGTCATAGACTT